ACGAGGATATGAAAACCCTAACCAGGAGACTGGGTCACATAGGTCCTGTTAGGCTCCCTGGCTGGGGACCTCGGGATTATCGTAACCGATGGTTAGAGACACTGAGTGATATGGCTGGGTGTCGCAAACAGTGGCGTTTGTGCATCTTCTCAATTTCTTTGCAACCTTAGACCACCGAACTTCTCCATTTTCTGTTCAACTCCACTTTCAATTTTCCTTTTCTCTCCTGTTCTTCATCCAAATGGGTAACCAAAAGACAGCAACTAAAACCGGCGCAAGAATATGCGTGGTTAATGGTTATACAAACTGAAACTGAAAACTCTATCAACCAAATGCTGCGAAGTAAGCTAGTAATCGAGTAGATGAGGCAGTCATTACCCAGCTTGAAAAGAATGGGGAGGATTTTATCAGGTCCCGCAGCCTACAATACAGCTTCGTACTTCCAATTCTGATGGTGGCTCACATGCTACCACTCATGGAATTTCCGCTGCAATTGCCGGAATGACCGTATTAGCACTAGGTCAATTGAATTGTTCACTAAAATACTCTGCAGATCTATCAATTCGTTCTAACTTATTTTGGATACTCTGCCCGCTTTTATCGCAAACCCAGAGCGAGTACGACCATCACAGCACAACTTTCCTCGATCAGGGTGATTAACGCCAGGAACAAGCTCCCTGCGGATGTGGTATCGGCAGAAACAGATACCAAATTCAAGCTCCGGCTCGACCGGTGTCGGAAGCAAATATGCATGACAAGACTGCACCTTGATATGGTGTGATGGCTTGTGCATCTCTCTGACCCAATGAACTATCAGAATGGCTTTTGTCAAGACAGGAGATCAATGGGTAGAGGTCAGACGAAGTCCAGTCTCCTGGTCGGGAGTTCGAGTAGACTTTGAATTTCAGTCGGTAAAACATGGTGAAGGAGTATGCGATCGAAGTAGGTGGGCCTCAACTTCGCTTCACCCGCTGCCTTGCGGTTAGGTACTTGTCAGAACTAAAGGACGAGAACCCTAATCGTTCTATTGCTTAGTGGATGGACACCCTAGCAGTAGCCGTCCATCAAACCCCAATGCATACACAAAATAAAAAGAATGCCATACTACATCGGTGGTCGCGCAGGACAATCAGGATCGTGCTGCTCATCTCATCGAGCCGGGTGGATAGTGATAAGTGGGCTACTCCTCAGATACCCCAAACTTTGTTTAATTCTGTCTTCCACACTCAGCCTTTCCCATCTGCCCTTTCTTCCGATCTGTAATAGTCCCTCAGGAAACCTCGGTGTCGCTTGTACATCAGGCGACGCTGAAGCCCGTTCAGTAGGTCAGCTCCGGGGTATGTACCGTACAAAAGAACAGGGCTGAGTCCTCCCTTATCAACTGGATCGTCGTCAGCAGTCGTTCATGTGCAGTGCACCTCCAGAGTTCAATCAGCATCCGAAAGGGAAGCAACACCAAAAGGTTGTTCATATCGGCATATGCACCGAACACTTGCAGTTCTGATACACAAAAGGAGGCTTTCTACGATGAACTCACTGATCTTATTCGGATCAGTCGAAGCTCTAACACAGATGTACTTGCAGGTGATTTTAACGCACAGGTTGGAAAACTGAGCGCAGCAGAAGCTTGCCTGGATGGCAGTTCTGCTCCGCCCTGCCAAAGAAAAGATAACAGCGACCGAGTTCTTCAGTTATGCGCAGATCATTATTTGTTCCTATCAAGCACCAACTTCCGACAAAGCTCTCGACGGACGGCAACATGGTGATCCAGTTCAACGGGCAAACCAACTCAAATCGACCAAATGGTGGTAAGCTACCGTTGGCGCGGCTCAGTGAAAAATCGCGGGTCCTCATGGACCACCTTCGTTGAGTCTGACCACGCATTAGTTTTGATGCAGTTCACTCTTCGACTGACTGGCCGGCGACAAATTCAACAAACTCCGATAGCTCATCATCGACTGTCTGGTCCAGCAGTTCGTGCACGCTATGAGTCAGAGCTATGCGTGAGCTAAGCGAGACTCAACGTGATTATGTAGATTAGCGATGGGATCAGATCAGGCGAGTAATGCATTCCGCAGCGAATGTTGCTTGTGGGTCTGAGCCTCAGACCTACCTACTCTCGACTGGGATCCAAACTAGGAGTGCGGCTTCGACTTTCTCACTGAGAGCCACCTCGGCGTCATCAAGACTAGAAGCCGCAGTCTCAGGGTCCCCAGAAAGACGCAATTGAAACTTCGCGGATGGATTTGCTTTGGATGTCAATCGGATGGTGGAGCTAGTCTTAAATGCGAGTTTCTTGGATATAGCACACATTGATGGCTGGGATCTCGAGGGCAGTTTCAGTTTCAGTTTTTACAACCTTTAACCATGAACTTTCGTGCGCCGGTTTTGGTTGCTGGCTTTTAGTTGCCCGTTTGGATAAAAGAGCGAAATGAAGACTGGAATGTTGAAGCAAATTTAAGCGGAAGATGGGTAATTCATACAGAGTGGAGTTAGGAAAATAACGAGTGGATGCACGAGCGCCACTGTTTGCGACACCTAGCCATATCGCTCAGTGTA